AATACAATTTGACAGTGACAAATGCCAAGTTCTGCACCTAGGAAAAAGAAACCAAAGGCATACTTACAAGATGGGAGATACTTGGCTCAATAATACATGCAATAAGAATCATGAGATTGTTGTAGATCTAAAGGTGAATATGAGTTAATGTGACAAAGGTTAATACCATTTTAGGCTGTATTAATGTAAGTGTCACTTCCAAATCACATGAAATACTAGTTCTCTACTCATCACCAGTTAGGCCTCATCTAGTTCTGCACCCAGTTCTTGGCACCACAGTTTAAGAAAGATGCAGACAAACTGGGAAAGGTTCAAAGGAGGGCAACAAAGATGATCAGGGAAGTGGAAACAAAACCCTGTGAAAAGAGACTGAAAGAACTGGGCACTGAGAAGAGAAAGCTGAGGGAACATGTGATAGCACTTTTCAAGAACTTGAAAGATTATCAAACAGAAGAGAACCAGGACTGCTTCCTAACCATCCTAGAATACAGGACATGGAATAATGGGTTCATGTTACAGGAATCTGATTCTGGCTGCATATCAAGAGAAACTTCTAGGTTGTTAGAGCAATATGACAGTAACTTTTGTGGGCTCTCCCACATTGGATGTATTCAAGATGCAGCTGGATGAACATATGTTAGGATTGTTTTAACACAGAGTCCTGCATTAAGCAAGGGGCTGTACCGCAAAGCCTTCCTGGTACAGCCCAAACCTACTATTCTATGATCCTATAGATATAGAAAAGTTGCTTGGAAAGTACAGAAGTGAATCCTAGCTTAAACAAGCCATGATAACCTGTATGACTGTGCGAACTGGGTTGCTAGATTTCTTTATAATTATGTGCTTATACTTTAAAGGGCATATAGATATGATTTATGTTTATAGATGGCTGTAAACACTCAGTTTCACATCATAGAACCATGTTCTAGAACCTGCTAGGAGTGATCTCAGTCTTCTGCATAAAAGAATAGTTTAACATCTCCAGCAGAGAACAAGATGGACAGAGAAGGGAACTCTTGCTAAAATCAGCGAAAGCATGTCCTTTTGCTACAGCATGTTCTCACACATTCTGGTGATATAATGCCCATTATGGAGCACATTTACTATATAATTTTGTGAGCCTTAAAATTAAGATTTCATTTCCATTTAATAAGAAAACAGTCAGTTAAAAATGTTGCACTGGGTACATAAATATGGGTAACTTTTCCCATCTTGCCTTCCTATCATGGCACTCTTAAGATGGCCCTTGAATATTTCCAAATGACTGAATGTGACCTCCAAGTTGCCTCAGGTGTATCTCAAATAACTAATGTTTTTAATCCTCTTTCATTTCACAGCTCATGTTGCTTTTTCTAGCCTAAATTTTGCCACTGCACAACTGAGGCATTGTTCTGATAATGCACCAGAAAGGAACTGACACCTTACCAGATTAGACCACTTGCCCAAATACCTTTATAGAGTTTGTCTTTACTGGTTGGCACTTTGAATCAAACATTTAAATGCAAAGAGCAATTCTGAAATAAAATTAGACATGATAGTTTAAAACCGCGCGCGCGCACACACACACACACACACGCACACACTTTTCCAGCACAGGACAAACCAGGCTGGCAGAAAGAAAGGCTCAGTCTAAGTTATGGTAAAGAATGGTAGAAACGAGTAAGTTAAGAAATGTTGGGCTGCACTGCTGGCTCAGAATGCTAGGAGCTGTAGAACTGTTTTCTGTCTGAATATGCCTAGGACTGCACCCCTACAGAGCTGCGTACATGAAACTGGCCTTAATATTCATTTGGGTCACCAAAATATCTGAGGCATTGCTCTCCACAAATTCTGGAACCACTGAATCTGGCAGTTATTCCTTTATTGTCTTTCCTGTCTTCAGGTTAGTGTGGCCCCAGCAGTCCATTCATGTTTCTTTCCTTGATGGCCACTGGGGATTCCCCAATCTCTTATGTTAATGGAGTTCACATCTTGAATATGCTTGTTCTATCCATTTCTCTGCATCACCACTGTACATATTACCTATATTTTCAAGAAGTTTCCTTCTATGGCTTTCTATAGTGTAAGATCTCCTGTCTTTAGGTCTTAGTGACCATTGTTCACACATTAGAAAAAAGGTTAACTTTGCAGTGGAAAGAATCTCCTTTTGTTATTTTTCCTTTTTTAAATCAATGCAGCTGGAAAAGATGCCTTTGGACCTCAAAAATTGTGACATAATACATTAGTTAGTCTTTATATGTGCCATAAGGCTCCCTAGATGAGTGTCATTCACATAAATAAACCATCTTAATTACAGATGATTTATAGCATTAGCAATAGTCCCCTCACTATTTAAATTAGGTTAAGATGTCTGCATGATAAAGCCAGACAGATTTTAATGCATATTTTAAAATTTGAGTGGTTTTGGAAGCAAGGATAGTTCTTTTCTTACAAAAATAACATTTAAAATGTTTGACAACTATGTTTAGGTGTGTTTCGCTGCTATTAAAACAGAAGACATTGGAATGAATGAAACATAGGAGTTAGCACAATGTTAATAGGAAGTAAATGAATGAAGGTGCTGTCATTAAAGTTTACAACTTCTTGAGCAGCCATACTGCTTTTCCTAATGATCTCAGTTTCATATCCTGGTTGGTAAGACAAGATTAAACCAGTCTCTTGGTTGAGTTATAATGAGAAATGATGGTTTAAACCAGGGTGGACAGAAAATTGATCAGACTCCTTGGGGTGATCTGCAGAAGAACAGCAAGAATTTGGGCTTCCAGTGGTTTAACAAAAGCAAAACAAAAGAGGCTTTCCCCTTCTTAAGTTAATATGCCAACATTAAGAAAGTTTTGGTAACAAGCAGGGGAAGGAACTTGGAATAAATTTATATATGAAGGCACTGTGTAATCAACTCTGGTCCTAACAACGAATTATTGGTTTGAATAAGCATACAAAAGCCTACTCTGGTTGATGGATCTTGTGACCTTAGTAAAACCGACCAACCAACTGACAAACAAACAAACAGAAGTAGAGCTATCAAATCTCATGTTTGCACATCCTTGACTTAAATTAGCTTTAGTACCAGTGCCAGCATGTACAGGAAGATTATATTAAAGCTTTTGTCTTAGAAAATCATGCTGTTAGAAAGAAGATTCTTGCCATTTCCCAGGTACTGTTTCTTTTACAATATAATATAAGCAAGAAATGTTACCTAGGACATAAAACCTAAGCGATATAAAACCTAAGCGATATAAACAAAACCTATTGCTTGTGATTATCAGCTTGTTGGATCCAGTGCTTGTGCAACTAGGCTTTGGTGCTATTAAAAATAAACTGAAACAAACAGAAATGCTTCTTTTTAGAAGAGTACATGTCAGCATAGCTTGCAAAATGGAGGTCTGTTGACCTGCTCTAATCAGGCAATGAATGTCTCCTCTAGTTTCCAGGGTTAGTTTCAGCAAGTGCTGAGCAAGTGCTAGTTTCCACAAGTGCAACAGAACTAACAGAGGTGGGATGGCCCTAATGGAAACTGCTATATGCCTTAACACAAAGCTCTAGCTAGCATGTTCATTAAAAAGAGACGGAATAAAGACCCAAAACATAATTCAATAAATACAGAATGGATGTATACCTTTATCAGTATTCAAGTGAGGTTGATCTGTGCCAGTTTAAGACAGTAAAATTATCTATCACTGTACCTTTCTCCTCAAAAATTAACCAATATTTAGCTTAAGATTCACAATATTTCTTAGAAATGTGTATGACCTCACGCTGGTAGCATGATCTTTTGTTTGGCTATGCTCAATTAACTGGATATTCTGGAAATAAATCTTGGAAAAACTTTTATGATTTCAGGTCACCATATTACTCCTGATTGTATAGAGGCATTACTAGTTTAACTGTAGGAAGACTATTGCTACATTGCATTGTTTGAATTGTAAGCCGTCCAGAGACCCACTGGGTCTTGGACAGGGTAAAAATACCCAAACAAATAAACATATAGCCTGCCTTTTTCCCTGCTGCAAGGAACCCAAGGCAGCTTATACAGATCCCCTCCACTCCATTTTATCCACACAATAACCTTGTGCATTAGGTTGGGAAGAGAATGAGTGACTGGCTCAAGGTCACCCAGTGAGGTTCATGTCTGAAGGAGGACTAGAACCTGGATCTCCCAGGTCCCCAGTCCAACAGTCTAGCCACCACACCACACTGGCTCTCAGTGATGGTGAGAGAGTTGATCCAGCCCTGAGAATGACCTTACTAATGGAAGCTTGATTCTGTATATCGGCTTGCTAGCTAACAGAGCACAGCACAACACAACACAACACAACACAACACAACACAGCTGGGGACATTTAATAACTTAGCTGGTTTACTTTTCCAAAAGGTATTTAAGCAATTAAGACTGATAAATTTTGTTGAAAGGTAGCCTCTTTCTCTTTACAACCTTGGGTTTTATCTAATCCTCACCATCTATGAGCAGAACAGAAATGCTGTCAGAACAGTTTATCATCATCACTGTAGCCCCCAATGTGCACCCTCAATCTGCTCCAGACTTTGGGAGCTGCTCTAGAACAGATCTAGAACACATGCATGAGGACTGCAGGGAACAAGCAAGTAAGGAGACGCCTCCTCATCAGACATCACGCCCCCACACACACACATCATAAAGCTATTTTGTGTATTCTTAATTTTTTTATAAGAGATAATAAAAAGAGTAATGAAACCTGGGGCAGAACAAAACATGAAGAGGTTAAGCTGTACTGGCTATCATTAACTTCTATTTGAGAAAGAAGAATTTGAGGGAAGGACAGACACTTAAGGAATGTTCCTGTGAGAAATATATCAGGCAAGACACCCTAATTATACTCAGTTGGATGGCTAGGGAAATCAGCATCACAGTCCGCTTTTTTTGAACAAAGGTTGAACAAGAAATCTGAGGATATCTGGCACTCTGTTATGCCATCACAATGCAGTATCAGTACCAGCACATGCGACTTTACTTCATCTCGTACCTTTGGTTTTGTTATCCGTTGCTCTGGAGGCATTTTCTTTTTTCTTCTGCTTGGCTGCCAGCAGTTCACGTTTCAACTGGCGCACTTCCTTCCGTAGCTCCTCACTGTAGAGAACAATGTTTAGATAAATCTAATTGACTTAAAAAGTAAAGCCACTCAGAAGAAAGAGAATCAGTTCGGAATCAATAAACCTGAGACAAAGCATAGAGTGCGGCAATTCCTTCCTGCCAGTCTGTATAACAAAATTTTTCCACTTGTTTTAACATTTAATATTATACTTATTTCAAAAATTTATAGGCAGCTAACAAAAACACCACTAACAACTCTATCACATAACAGTAAACAATAATTAAATATAATAAAAGTGAAAGCCAAGATCCTAACTGGCCATTCTAATAAGAAGTTTTGATTCTTTATGGAGATTAACTTAATCCTTATTTGATAGTTAAATATTATCCCATTTTTTCAGTAATGGTCTTAAGAAGGGGAAACAAAATTTCCCTATCCTAAAACAATTACTAAACTATTTATATTGACCAAAATAAGTTTTAGCTATTCATAGATATTTTTAAATCTTTGGGCCACCAAATAGCATTGCCCTGCCAGAACTGCACTGTCAGTAAGGAATATGGCATACTTATTAACATTCTATATATTTAACATTATTTAACATTCTATCTATTACTAGTAATATTTCCTGTACATGATTGCTGAAATTCTAAACTTGCAGTTACTAAAACTTTGAATATATTCAAAGTAGGAATTGCAAATTCATTAACATCTAATATGGGCTGCTTGGGTCTTAAAAATATCAATTTTACATCACTTACTATGAGGGTAATTATTATTAGAATTATTCTGAAAACACTCTCTAAGGCCCATTATAATTCTAATGTCTCAATAACAGTGCACACAATTATAAATAGCCCAAGCACCCCACCCCCAACCACCCAGGTTTAAACACTTTGAACTCAAATTTATATTTTCCATCTGCTGCCTAAAGTAAAATATTAAACACAGGAAACATAAACAGACAAAAATACAAATTCCACCAAAAGGGGAAGCGGAAAACTCCCAGAAACTCATGACAAGAGTAAAGAGATGTTATTTTATATCGTCTCCAAAACTCCTTGAGGCCTTCTCAAAATTACTTCCTGTATTCCAAACCACAAAGTCAATTTCCAAAAAGGAGTGTCAAGACTTCCTAATAGCCTTTCTAATAGCCTTCACTTGTGCCTAGCATAAACCAATTAATGATACCCTCTTCCTATTCAAGATGTAAGTTCCCTCTTGAGTGCCACAAGCCACATTCATTAAGTCTCAGATCTCAAGGTTCAGCTAGTAGATCTACTTTCAGGGAACAATGGCCAAGTCCAACAAGACCGCTTTAAATTCTGGAGTCTCAATATCCCTAACTGGTATCATGTTCATTTCCATACTTAGAGTACCATGTGTCTTTATATGTCCCTGCCCAAGTGCTCAGCCTATTAAAGATGTCATTGCATGCTAAGAGGCAGGTGGGTGCCAAATGAAGGGCTGTTTCAGGGGTGGGGCGTGAATTGCACTGCTTTACTTTCATTCAGACACCAGGCAGTGTTTTATTGTTTGTTTTACTCATGTTGTTTACATGACTTTTGAGTGTGCGTATGTGTGTGTGTGTATGTAAATCTGCAAACCATTCTTGGAATTCTGGTGAATCAAAGAACTGAGTATTAAATTATTATTTTTTAAATCCTGATAAATTACCATAGAAAAAGAAGCAACCCAGTTCTTTCTGCAGAGCTACAGTACTCTCTGGTAGGGCAAACCATGTTTTCATATTGAAGTGAAGAATTATATAGGCCCAGGGGTATGAAACTCTTTTCACCCTGATGTCCAAATTCCACTCTAAGTAGCATTTCATCTGTGTGAGGGGGCAGCACCTGGTGGATGCTGATAAGTCACATGGTGAGCTCCCCAGTGGGCCATATTTGGTTCATGGGCCTGAGGTTCCCTATCCTACAGGTTCACCATCATAGCAGGGAAGCTATTCTGTCAGTCCCAAGCTATTCCGTTGGATAGTGTCCTGCAATTTCAGTATAGCTGCCTACTCTATATTTTTGTATTATTTTGGATAAATGAATGACTTCATATTCCAGGATTATCAGTCTGGCACTTTCCATAAGTAGCCCATTCACAGTTCACCACTACACAGTTAAAGTTCATCACTCGAGAGAAAGCAGCCAAGTCTGGAATAAAAGGCGCATTAAAGGGCATTGTCAAGAGCTGTGGGATGAAACTTGCACAGCACATTCTTGGATTTTGTCCGACTGTAGCTATTTTCTCCAACCTTTCATAACAGTAATTCAGCATCATATAATAAACAAGAACCAAGATGACACAATGATACTTCAGCAAAAGATCTTTATTTTATTTTTTTCATTTGAAATGGAATTAACTCTTATTTCTTTCAGCAGGGCCTTCTTTCAGCCTATGTTATCCTTACAGGACATTTGTAGCATATCTTACTAAACTGACAAAGGAACAAAGGAATAATTTGTTGGCATATAAAAACAAAGTCACTGAATTGTCTAGATAAGAATTGCTGAATAGGAAACTAAGGCTATAATCCTTGCACGTTTACTTGTGAATACACCCTACTGAACTCAATGGGATTTAATTCTATGTAAACATGTACATGACAATACTGTGCGTTTTGTTTGAGTGAGTCTGAAAAAAACCCATTCAAGATCTATCCAGGAAGACTTGAAAACAAGCACTCCTTAACCCCAGAATATCCTGGAAGTCATACTTCTCTCCCAAGATTGTTTCAGGGGAGAAATTAAATATAGCTAGTTAACTAGTAATAAAATGTGTCATGAAGTTATATCCTTAGCAAGTTCTTTAGTCTAAAACATACTGAAAAAAGCAGGTTGCTTACCTGTAACTGATGTTCTTTGAGTGGCCATCTGTGCATTCACACATATGGGTGCTGTGCCTGCGCAGTGCCTAGGCCAGAAGATTAGAAAGCTAATGGTTTTCAGTGGGAAAAAGCTCCGCTCCTCTCCCCCCGCATAGTATAAATAGAGCGGAGCGTCCGCCATTTTATTCAGTCTTGAAGACCGACGTTTGCCCCCTTGCAGTTAAAGATGGTATTACAATAAGCATCATCGGTACCGTAAGATCAGTGCGGAACCGACGAAAAAGCAAGTCCACTGACCGACACCATGTGGGGCCGGTGGGTAGGTTGTGTGAATGCACAGATGTCCATTCGAAGAACATCAGTTACAGGTAAGCAACCTGCTTTTCTTCGTCGTGGCCTCTGTGCATCACACATATGGGTGATTAGCAAGCTTACCATACTCGGAGGAGGGAGGTGTCGTCAATGAAGAATGGCGGAGAGAACTGCTCTACCAAAAGAACAATCCTGTTTTGCACGTACATCAAGCTGATAATGCTTGGCAAAAGTACATGGAGCAGCCCAGGTTGCGGCTCTGCAAATATCCTGGATCGGAACACTTGCCGCAAAAGCCGACGAAGTCGCTACTGCTCACGTAGAATGGCCTCTTGGAAGCATAGTTAAGTCCATCTTTGCTAGTTGATATGCCAGAACTATGGTCTGGACAATCCATTTAGACAGTCTTTGAGATGTGACTGGAGAGACCTTGTCATGATCAGCGTATTTAACGAAGGGTCTGTTAGAATTCCTGAAGGATTCTGTGCGAGACCTGTAGAAAGCTAGGCAGCGTCAAACATCGAGAGTGTGGAGAGAGCATTCAATCGGAGTCGATGGGGATGGAAAGAATGTGGGCAAGACAATGTCCTGATTCAAATGAAACAATGTAGCCACTTTAGGAAGAAACGTTGAATCCATGCGAAGGATGACCTTTTCCTTATGAAAATTCAAAAACGGTGGATCTATGCGAAGAGCACAAAGCTCACTAGCCCTTCTGGCTGAAGTGACCGCAACAAGAAAAGCAGTCTTCCACGATACTAAGCATAGATCCACAGTCGCCAAAGGTTCAAATGGGGGCTTTGTAAGCACTTGGAGTACAACAGAAAGACTCCAAGTTGGCATGACAGGATGGACTGACGGGTGAAGGTTCTGTAGTCCTTTTAGAAAACAGCGAATCAGAGGTTGAGCAAAAACCGATGAGCCCTGTATGCTGCCACGGTGATGTGAAATGGCAGCTCTGGAACAAAACAGTTCACATACCCTGTTCTCTCGGGTAGCGAACAAGTCTATGTCTGGGTATTCCCACAGATGGAATAGTTTGTTGCAAATCAGTCAATCCAACTCCCACTCGTGGGTTGTTGACATCTGTCTGCTCAGTGCATCTGCTTCCACGTTGTCGGTCCCTGCAAGGTGGACCGCCAGTAGCATTATGTCCCTTGGGATACACCAATCCCAAATTTGCATCGACAATCGAGCCAAGATGGGTGACTTTGTCCCACCCTGCTTGTTGATGTAAAAGACAGCAGCAATGTTGTCGGACGCAATCTGGACAACTTGGTGGTGTAGAACGGTCTCAAAGGATTTGAGAGCGTTGAAAATCACCAGAACCTCGAGGAAGTTTATGTGTTTCCTCGTTTCTTGTCGGTTCCAAGTCCCTTGGACCCGAAGTCCTGCACATGCCGCATCCCATCCGATGAGGGATGCATCGGTGTACAATGTCACTGTCGGCTGAGGCACTCGGAACGGAACACCAATAGATAAATTGTCTACAGTAGTCCACCATGTCAAGGTATGAAGGATCAAAAGCGGAATCCAAATAAACTTGCTTTGCGGGTCCCACTGTGGGTGAAACAACTTGTTGAGAAACAATTGCAGAGGCCCAAGTCTGAATCTGGTGTGTGGTAAGATGGCAACTGAGGCAGCCAGATGTCCCAGAAGCCTCTGTACAGTGACAGCCTGTACTGTCGTGTGTTGTCAAATTTGATGAATATGAGCACAAAGAGTGGCTCGACGGGATGGAGGAAGAAATGCCCTCTGTAGGATGGAGTTGATATGTGCTCCGATGAAATCAATGACCTGCATAGGGATAAATAACGATTTCTAATGGTTAATGCAGAGTCCAAAGTCGTCAAGTAAAGTACAAATCTTATGTACAGCCGAAAGGAGGCT